ATTACCAGGACATTCTGGAGAGTTAGTACAGAGGATTTTAAGTGCAAGTTCAGTCCAGGCCTTCCAAAGGACTTGGTAGGGAAACTAAAGTTCTGTGGCTTCATCTAAGTGTTAAGGCTCCAATTCCCAGTGGCATGGGAATGTTGGGAAGAGGGACAACAATTAGGATACATGGAAATAAAATGTAGACAATAAAGCTAAAAGATGGGAGAGAATGAGCACTATGGAATGTCTCTATTCGTTGCTGTGAGTTCCTGAGACCAAAGCTCATCGATCAGACAGCCCAGGGCCTTTTCTCCTCAACTACTACAGATTCTTGAGATTTTAGTTGGATATTAAGATAAAATGATCATGGAGGAAAACAGACGGTCCACATTCAACTCTTTTTACCGTTTATTTATAGTCATCCAGACATTCATCTCACTCCTAAATTGACATTTAACAACTCAAATTTCTATTACTGCTCCTGTGTAGGACCCAAGTCCACAGGGGGCACTTCTATTATTATCTAAGTAATTCCTCGTGCTTCCTACCTGCTGGTAGATGTGTGATTTTGTCTTCAGCACTGAATGAAGGTCTGTGTTCTGGAGGCAGAAGAAACATAGGCTAGATGTATTCAACTAGATGGGGGGCTGGGGAAATGGCTCAGTGGAATATGCGCTTCCCTGGCAAGCGCAAGGGCCTGAGTTCAATCCCCGGTTCAAAAAAAAAAAAAAATTATGGGTTCAACTAGATGGGAATACAGGCAGGGCATGGATTAGGGTGCATGTTATAGAACTGCCTATTGCAACATATTTCTCGGTGAACACAAAACCACACTGTCCTGGGATGCTTTAGTGGCCTCATTATCTTCCTAAGTGGCTCTTGCACTTGGCTCTGAATCTGCTGGAGATCACCATTCCTGGGAACATGAACCTCCCGAGGAGGAGAGTACAGCTCCAGGGCTAAGTTGCTCAGCCTGGCCGTGTGGCTCAGCAGGTTCTTCATGGTGTCTACGGACATGAAATTCCTTACAAAGCAGAAGGCAGTGAGCTGAGAGCAGCTGCTCAGGGAAGGCAGAAAGGCGCAGACCTGTGCATCCGTGATCCTACAGTTTTCCAAATACAGGGTGGTCAGTGTGGCTGAAACGTTATCCAGCAGAATTCGGAGAGGCTCAGGACTGAAATCGCTCAGGTTGATACAACTCAGATCCAGCTGTTTTAGCTGTCTGATCTGCTCAGAGCACGACAGATGGTTCCAGTCAGAGTGTGAGAACTGCCAGTGTGTTACTGAGAGGGTCTCCAATGGGGACACCAGACACCTACAGACAACAAAGCAGTTAGATGTGGCAAACTATGGTGAAAATTATTGGGTGGTGGAAGACAAGGTGGACCAAGTGTCACACGGGTCAGCCCTTTTTAGGTGGCACTTTGCCATCACTTGCTTGAGTAGCTCAGTCTTAAATCTCTACCATCCACTATACTCAATCCCAGATAAAACCCCCTAGTTTTTTTTTTAAAACATATATAGAGTGTGTGTGTGTGTGTGTGTGTGTGTGTGTGTGTGGCCAGCTCAGCCCACCAGGGGGCGCGGCTGGCTGGCATGTGGTGCTGGGGGATCGAACTGCGGTCCCTGTGCTTTGCTTAGCTTAGTTTGTTCCAAGTAGGTGCTTTAGACCACTGAGCCATCTCTCCAGCCCCCACCTAGTTCTTTTTTGATGAGGGCAGCAGGATACTGGGAGGAAACAAAAATCAGGAATGCTCTGGGCATAGATAAGGTATCTGAGCAGAGTTAATGTCCTTTTTTCTTTCCTGCACCTCTGTTTCCTACCTTCAGCACTCAGTGCCCTGCACTTCTCATGTGGTTATTAGCCCACCCTGTAGCAGAGCTTCCTCATGGTGACTGCTAGGAATGTCAGACAGGACTTGGGGTTTCGTAGGACCTTACCCTTAACTGGTTTCTTATGATAGGAACTACACACTTGTCCTCAATGTATCTTTTCTTTCCTTTTTTGGAAACAGGATCTTGCTATGCATTTCAGGCTAGCCTTGAGATTACTTTGCAGCCCAGGCTGTTCTTGAACTCACTACAATTCTACTGCCTTGACCTCCTGAGTGCTGGGATTACAGTCATGTCCCAGCATGCCTGCCTTTTTTTGGGTATTCTTTTGCTTTACCCCTCACTGTGTCTGATCCCTGCCTCTAGACATTCAAGCATTCTGGCCATTTCTAATCTAGCTGCTCAAGTACAGGGACTATGTGACAAAATTTCTAGGACAGAGAAATGAAAACCACAATGAATGATTTGATGTGCTAGTGTTTGACCCCTGTCGCACCTCTTGTGTGTGGCACATGGCCCATGCTCATCCTATTTCTATACCACAGAAAGGCTGTTCTGGCTAATCAGACAGCTCCCAATCTTACCTGAGTACCTGGTCCAAGTGGCCTTCAAGGAAGGAGACACAGTCCATATGAATCTCTTTCAAACAGTGAAACTTAAGAAACTGAGAGGTGATTCTGGTGATCAACAGCTTTTTCTTCTCCAGGGCAATGAAAGCCGGCTCAGAAATGCCAGAGAGAGTTATTTTGTGAAGATTTTGCATCTGGCCCAGAAAAGGGGCAAAATCAGAAAGGATAAAAAGTGACCAGCAGTAACCCAAATCCAACTCCTGTACAAAGTCAAGGTTGAGCATTTCTAGTAACTCTATGTACAAGGGAAAGCACATGGTGGTAATACACAGCTTCTTACATTCCAGCTGCACCAGGTCTTTCCTCTCCTGGACCCACTTGATGAGGTAGGATGCCACTGGACACTGATACTCCTGACTGAGCCACAGATCCAAAAGGACACTGAGGATCTTGTTTGTTTCCCGTGTCCCAGTCTTCTCTCGTCTTGTCCTCCTCATGGCTTTTGAGGAGCAGGCTTCCAACTCATTTCCAGCCCAGACTCTCCAGAAGTTCTGGTGTATGATCCGCATATCTAGAACTTGCAGTTTCATCCTGCTGTGGGTGAAACAGTAATGAATCTTAGAATTTAAGCCACGACCCAGTTTTCTCCTGTGACTTCAACTCTGTGGTCAGCTGCTATCTTCTCTACTCTTTCTATGCTGTAGTTTTCTCTCTCTCTTCCCCTTGCATCCATCCCAGTCCCTACTCCTGTGACCTGTGGTGGGAGTGAGGAACCTCTTGCTCCTTTCTCTGCAGACTCCAGCATGAGCTCAGGCAGTGCACTCACAATTGGATCAGAAGCGCCCAAGGCATCTTGCTCCTTGGCCAGCCACCATCAGAAGACTGTGCTTCACGCTTTAGCCCACCCCCTCCACTCTGACACTTTCTGTCCCTTTCTGGAATACAAGCGCCCTCCCACCAGGATGCCCAGGGCACACTCACCTGGAGGAAACTTTCTGATTCAGCAGCACATCTAGCCCGTCCAGCACAGTTTGTAGCATCATTTTGTTCACCCGCACAACATCCTCCTTAGGCTCCAAGGTCTCTGGTTCCCTTATGCTCATCAGGGCTCCAAGGGGCAGGGAGGGAAAAGGCCAGGACAGCACCATGGCCTTCAAGACCTCTGTGTGTCCCCTGATGAAGGCCTCCATGAACACTCGTGGAAAGAGCTCCCCTGGCAAATATTCCACAGCCTCTATGGCCAAGACCTCATTCCTCATCAAGCTCTCAATTGCCAGTTCCAGTAGTGCACGTGGGGGCTGGGTGCTCATCCTGGGGAGTATGGGAAGCTGGTGTGATGGAAAACACTGGGGAAAGAGATAACTTTTCAGGCAAGGCTGTGACCACCTTCTCACCCATGAGGTGACCTACTTAGAGCCAAAAAGTCCTTGATGTGACAAGGGTACAAATCTCTTTTGTGTTCATGGCCCCAAATCATTACAGCAGCTACCTGTAATGGCTCCATGAAGAATATCTGATACCATCACCATGATGCAGGTTGATAGCCAAGTGCTTGCTGCCATTGCCACACAACAGGCATCAGGACTCATTGGGAATTGAGAACTAAGGAGTTGGAAGTTGACTCCCACTAGCTTTGAGAAAACATTACCTTCTCCACTCCAAAAGAATATAATCAGGGAAATGTAAAAGTTATACTGCTCAGTCTGTAACTTAGCAGTAGTCAAAGGCACTCGAGTAAGAAAAATTATACAGACTATGTAATAAATGTCTTGAGGGGCTGGTGAGATGGCTCAGTGGTCTAAAGCACCTACTTGGAACAAACTTAGCAAAGCACAGGGACCTCGGTTCAATCCCCCAGCACCACGTGCCAGCCAGGGCCGCCCTCTGGTGGGCTGAGCTGGCCACACACACACACACACACACACACACACACA